ATACGTCACATATAAATATATATATATATATATATATATATATATATATGCGTATTAAAATTCATCGTTTTAATTGCTATTTATTTAATTATTTCCCTCCCCCCCCCCCCATTTCTTTCAGGCAAGGGAAACAACTATTATTAAAAGACATAGCCCGAATTGCTGCCCGTCCCGTACGTTGTTCACTCAACATTGTGTACGTACTATTAGCTTTTGTGAATTACGCTGAAGTTGTTGTAGCACCCCCTATGTATTAAACTATGTTGTTTCCATCGATACACTTCAACAGTTTTCCTTGTTCACTGCCATTTTTAAAAAATGTATTTCCCATTTGTTTTCTGTTGTTCCTGTATTACTTTCAAATCTCGCCCAACACCTTTGGTTTCTTAAGTTCTTAAAGTTTTGTTTTTGTTTTTTTAAATACGCCAAATATCTTGCATTGTTCCACTAGGAATGGCTTAGCACAAAAATCCGCCACTTGCACTCAATGGTGTGGCTAGAGATGCTGACGCCCGGGGGAGTCATTTGAATTTACCACCCGTCAGTTACAAAAAAACAACAACAACAACAACACAAGACGGTATATGATATTTGTAACAGCTCAAATATTACAATAATGATTTGTTTCGTATTTTAGTATGAACACAGCTTAGTTGGATGATTTTACACCTGAAATGTTAGGCTCACAGCTTAGTTTGAGGATTTTCACCTGACATGTTAGGCTCACAGCTTAGTTGGATGATTTTACACCTGAAATGTTAGGCTCACAGCTTAGTTTGAGGATTTTCACCTGACATGTTAGGCTCACAGCTTAGTTGGATGATTTTACACCTGACATGTAAGGCTCACAGCTTAGTTTGAGGATTTTCACCTGACATGTTAGGCTCACAGCTTAGTTGGAGGATTTTACACCTGACATGTAAGGCTCACAGCTTAGTTGGATGATTTTACACCTAACACTTTAGGCTCACAGCTAGTTGGATGGTTTTACACCTAACATTTTAGGCTCACAGCTTAGTTGGATGATTTTACACCTGGCATGTAAGGCTCACGGTTTAGTAGGATGATTTTACACCTAACATTTTAGGCTCACAGCTTAGTTGGATGATTTTACACCTGACATGTTAGGCTCACGGTTTAGTAGGATGATTTTACACCTAACATTTTAGGCTCACAGCTTAGTTGGATCATTTTACACCTCTTGTCACAGAGTTTAGATTATCATGGTTATGTTGTATTTGTGCAACAGGCGTTTGAAAAAGCTAGACTATGTGTATGTGGTTATAAGTCATATGTTGTAGTGTCTAGTTTCGAGATGTCTTATTTTATGCTGTCTTATGTTGTACTGTCTAACGTTATGATGGCTCATTTCGTGATGTATCATGTGATACTGACTGACCTCAGGATGTGTCATTTCGTGATGTCCTATATTGTATTTGTTACTCAAGGTGAGTTATGTGAAGATTTTTAGTTTTTTGCGCTTTCCTGTATTGAAACTGTTTACAATTGACACAAATGGAAGAGGGAAGACAACTCATTTACAAAGTTTAATATGATTTGAAGGCATGTTTGAATTTGACATCAAAGACTTAGGATCCTGTACTTTCTTGTTTGGTTTTCAGAAAGTCAGCCATCGTTCTCACGTGACACTAACCAATAGGAGCAACTGGCGAAAGAAGACAAAAAAATAATTAAAATAATATTTCAAACTATTGTAGAATTTAAATATGCAGAGCATAGAGTTTCCAGTATACTTTTAGAGCGCCAACTTCTTTAGCTGTTGTTAATACCATAGTAAAGCTGAAGTGCTTTATTGCGTAAAGAAACACAATTTTGAATATTTAAAAAATAGAAACTATTTCCACGGTCTTGACAGTGCCATTGGGCTGCTTGTTTGTTAAATGATTATATCATAACCAAGGTTTTTGTTAGATGATTATATCATAACCAAGGTTTTTGTTAGATGATCATATCATAACCAAGGTTTTTGTTAAATGATTATATCATAACCAAGGTTTTTGTTAGATGATTATATCATGACCAAGGTTTTTGTTAAATGATTATATCATAACCAAGGTTTTTGTTAGATGATTATATCATAACCAAGGTTTTTGTTAGATGATCATATCATAACCAAGGTTTTTGTTAAATGATTATATCATAACCAAGGCTTTTGTTAAATGATTATATCATAACCAAGGTTTTTGTTAGATGATTATATCATAACCAAGTTTTTTGTTAGATGATTATATCATAACCAAGGTTTTTCGTTAGATGATTATATCATAACCAAGGTTTTTGTTAGATGATTATATCATAATTCAGGTTTTTTGTTAGATGATTATATCATAACCAAAGTTTTTTGTTAGATGACTATATCATAAGTCAGGTTTTTTTTTTAGATGATTATATCATAATTCAGGTTTTTTGTTAGATGATTATATCATAAACAAGGTTTTTTGTTAGATGATTATATCATAACCAAGGCTATAGGCACATACCGTCCCCCTCCCGTTAGACTTAAACTTTGGTTTATCGAACTCATTTTAAACTTTACAAACTTGGACAGCGTGCTTACACAAGAAGTAGTCGTCACGTTTGGCCTTACAGTCGGCCAGGCTGTTGCAGCAGATGACACAGTGGCCGTTGTTGCCGGCGTTGTCACAGCTGTTCTGGGTTTCTTGGTGAGCGCAGTTCTACAAGAGGACAAGAAAACAAAATTAGTTTTAAAAAAATAAAAAAATTAGAGCAGAGATTGGAAGAAAATTCGAGCCACTAACTTCAGATCCAAACATGCATTAAATGGGTGTGGTGGTTTGCAATCAGCCGCTGAGACATTGCTGGGGCTAGTTACTAGATAAGTATTGAGGGAAACAGTTGAGCAACCTAGTGGGGCAATCGATTAATCCAATAGTGAGGTATGTCAGTAACGAATCTGTGAGGTAGTCTACTTTTCAGTCAGTGAGGTTTGCTACTGATCAGTTAGGGAGGTAGTCTACTGATCGATTAATGATGTAGTCTACTGATTAATTAGTGAGGTAGGCTACTGATCAATTAGTGAGATTTGCTACTGATCAGTTAGGGAGGTAGTCTAAAGGTTGATTTGAGAGGCAGACTAATAATTAGTCAGTGAGTTAGTCTATTGATCAGTTATTCGGGAAGTCTACTGGTCAATTAGTGAGGTAGGATACTGATCAATTAGTGAGGTGCGCTAATTATCAATTAGTGACTTAGTCTACTAATCAATTAGTGAGGTAGTCTACTGCTCAATTAGTGAGATAGTCTACTGCTCAATTATTGAGGCAGGCTAATGGTCAATTATAAGCGAGTAATTGTACTGATCAATTAGTGAATTATTCTACTGATCGATTTGTGAGTTATTCTACTGATCGATTAGTGAGGTACGCTACTTATCAATTAGATTAGTGATTTATTCCACTGATCAATCAGTAAGGTAGTCTACTGATCATTTAGTGAGGCAGGCTGCTTGTCAATTAGTGAGGCAGGCTACCAATCAATTAGAGAGCTAGGGGTAGGCTATTCGTCAATTATTAAGGTAAGCTAATTACCGTGGCATCCGAGCAGTGATACTCAATTTTGTTGTCTCTCAGTTCGATCTTTGTTTCGCAGGCCTGAAAGCACAAATAAAATGAGCCTTTACCGACTTGAAAAAAGACGCGTCTATTGTAATAAATAAAAAAATAAAAAACTTGTGGTGAAAGAAAAGACTGAATACTTCATAAAAAAAGAAAGGGATTGATTGTCCGTTACATGGAGACTGTAAGATGATTACAAAACGTACGTCATGTTCAGCCTGACAGTTCTGTTGTCCAGTACATGTTGTGTAGTCGTTCTGATTGCTGCAAGTCGGACAGATGGCGGCGTTGGCGCCTGAAAATGTCAACAACGAAATACATCACGTGGTCCAGCTGTTAAATCTCGTCGTGGGCGCGGATACATTCATGAATTGAGCTAATGTCATTGTATGGCATGTACGTAGATATTATGTCATATGAAGTAAATAAAAATACTGGCTTTGATCTCTAAACACAGGGGTTCAAAGGTGGTAAAACCAAGACTGAGGCCATTATAAATTGTGCCATAGCTCCACACACAATCTCCCAAATAAGGGATACATTGCAAAATATAAGGTTCGTACCAGTAGCTGGGTAATATGTATCAATGCATAATTAGTCTCAAAGGTATGTATGAAAAGTATTTTCATAGTTTTTTTGTTTGTTTCGGAATAAACGATAATATCGTAAATTTAGTTTAATGTTGAAATGTCCTCCTGTCAAAAGAAAATACCATTCTTTTCTGACCTTTTCAATAGGAAATTTCCTACCTTTTTCATTTCTTGGAGGATCTAGCAGCCCTATCTAAACATGAAACACAATACGTAATTTAACTCCCATAAACTCTGAGTATAAAAGACCTTTAACTAGCTTACCTTAAACTGCAGTGGTGTCTACAAAAAACTTACCGTAAACTACAGCAGTAGCCACCAAAACTTACCGTAAACAACAGAAATAGCCACCAAAACTTATCCTACACAACAGCAGTAGCCACCAAAACTTATCGTAAACAACAGCAGTGGCCACAAAAAACTTACCGTAAACTACAGCAGTAGCCACCAAAAATACGATTGTGAAATGCATTCTGTATTACGTCGTTATCTGAATTTGAAAATGTTGATTTCTCGGTCAAGTGACTGACCGCACGTCTCCGTCAAGTGACTGACCGCACGTCTCGGCCGCAATTTATAGGGCGATTGCTGCCGAATTTTAGAAGCGTGTGCAAAATGTGGGCAATGAGATGTGGATTGGAAAGAACGTGTTCTTTTTTTTTTTTTTTAAATTGTTTTATTTTAAAATCTGAACAACATCGTCAGCGATTAAATACTATAAATAAGTTAAGTCATTTTTTGTGTGCGGATTTAACGAAACAGTAAAGAGAAAAAAAAAAGTGGGCCCATTTGACAACGAGTGCATTGTGGACATGATCTGATAGGAGGCAGATGGCGAAAAAAAAATTTACAGAATAATTATTTGAATTATCTCTAAGAACTAAGTTTAACAAGTACGTCAGGTGAGGTTTGTGAGATAGTGTGGCACTGCCATGTCAAGTGAGTATTGTGAAGAAGTGTGGCACTGCCATGCAAAGTGAGCTTTGTAGTCATTTCCACGTAATTATTTCCTATTCACTGATGGCGTTGAAAATGTGGACTCAGAGGAATCAAAACAAATAATATTGAAATTTGAACACTCTCTTTGTCTCGCTTTCTATTACTTTCTCTCTAACTTTCTTTACGTATCTCTAACACTCACTCTCTGTCTTTCTCTCTAACTTTCTTTACGTATCTCTAACACTCACTCTCTGTCTTTCTCTCTAACTTTCTTTACGTATCTCTAACACCTTTCTCTCTAACTTTCTTTACGTATCTCTAACACTCACTCTCTGTCTTTCTCTCTAACTTTCTTTACGTATCTCTAACACTCACTCTCTGTCTTTCTCTCTAACTTTCTTTACGTATCTCTAACACGCACACAATCTCTCACTCTCTCTAACTTTCTTTACGTATCTCTAACACTCACACAATCTCTCACTCTCTCTAATTTTCTTTACGTATCTCTAACACGCACACAATCTCTCACTCTCTCTAACTTTCTTTACGTATCTCTAACACTCACACAATCTCTCACTCTCTCTAATTTTCTTTACGTATCTCTAACACGCACACAATCTCTCACTCTCTCTAACTTTCTTTACGTATCTCTAACACTCACACAATCTCTCACTCTCTCTAATTTTCTTTACGTATCTCTAACACGCACACAATCTCTCACTCTCTCTAACTTTCTTTACGTATCTCTAACACTCACACAATCTCTCACTCTCTCTAATTTTCTTTACGTATCTCTAACACGCACACAATCTCTCACTCTCTCTAACTTTCTTTACGTATCTCTAACACTCACTCTCTGTCTTTCTCTCTAACTCTCTCTTTATACCCTATCCCTCTCTCAATTATCTTTCTCTCCAAATTTCTGTACATATCTTTAACACTCTCTCTCTACCATCCTCCCATCTCTCTCTCTTGGTTATCTTTCTCTCTACTTGGTCAGCCTCTGTGACCCCATATTCAACTTTGTCAATGTGTATATTGAAGACTAGCCTTATCTTTTGTCAACGACATACAAGGGTATATGAAATGGGGCGAATTTTTCTGTGGCTCCTTAATTAGCAAGTTAAATCTAAAAATATTTTATATTAACTTTACTTTTTTTTTAGTGGCTGGCTGGGTGGTTGGCCGGGGTGGTTGGCTGGGTGGTTGGCACATAGGCTCATTACCGATGACTACACATTCTATCCAAATTTCTTTCTTTTGTTTTTGAAATGGTGAAATAAATCTGCGGTCTTAAAGGGGGGTGGGTCATTAGATTATCAATTTATTTCGGGGCGTGAAAAAATGTGCGGTTGTGACCCTTGAGTGTTAGATTTCAGCCCCCCCCCCTGCTTGATGTTACATTTTATAAAGGGTTTATACAAGAAACGTTTTAGGAGCTGTTTAATTTTTTAAATGTCTTTCTCGTCTATAAAATAGCAGGAAGGAAATCTTCAGATTATGTAAACAGTTGTTCATCTGATCTTAGCATGTCCCTTTAAAAATGAATCAATTTTTGTTTTTCGTATTTATTTCATGAAATTTTTTATGGCAGTATAATGGATCTTTTAGAGCAGTCCTGCACAACTCACAATGTAAGGCGGGCCGTAATACTTTATGGAAAACTTGTGCAGGCCAACAAAAAAAAAATATAAAAAAATAGGACAGGACTTGCGCGGGGCAAAGAAAATGGGACGGGGGAAAATCTATTAAGAAAATAATAAAAATAGTGAATATTTTTTTACTTCGCGGGCCGCGAAGTGGGTGCTGACGGGCCGCATGCGGTCCGCGGACCGCTTGTTGTGCAAGCCTGTTTTAGAGTCATTAAAAAAAGTAAACACACTTCATGTGGAAAAGATAGTCACTGGAAAAGATGATTAATGTCCAGGGCAACAACTCTGACCCGTTTGGAACTTTTGCAGCTTGGTTTGTTTGTAATTGAACTTTCAAGATAGGTGAAACATTCTTCCCCCCCCCCCAAGCCACAAACATGTCAATAAGTGACCATTCGAATTTACGAGCAATATCTATGACAACTGCATCACTGAAAACAACGCAACTGAAACGGAAAAAGAGAGAATGCTTGAGTGTGTGTGTGTGTGTGTGTGTGTGTGTGTGTGTGTGTGTATGTGTGTGCGTGTGTGTGTGTGTGTGTGTGTGTTAATGGGGGTCATGATACTATTTTTGACTGCGCGAAAAAATTATCCCCATTGTTATTAATGTGTGTGTGTGTGTGTGTGTGTGTGTGTGGGTGTATGTGTGTGCGTGTGTGTGTGTGTGTGTGTGTGTTAATGGGGGTCATGATACCATTTTTGACTCCGCGAAAAAATTATCCCCATTGTTATTAAACCAAATGTAATTATTAAAAAAAAAATAAATATAGATGTTTAGATTGATTTTTGTTTGTGTGCTCTGTTGTTGTTGTTGACAACACATAACACACACCAGTGTCGTATTATTGAGCTGTTCTCATCTACTGTTTATTTTATAGTCTTTGAAAATTTGATGTAGGGAGAGTCGGGGCACAGTGGATCAAAAATCTTATTTTTTAAATCTTCCAAGAGTTTTCCCCAGATATTTTAATGTTGTGTGTGCACAATGATTGTATTACATCATGGACTTACATAGGAATCCTTAAAGTGTGGCTAAATATAATCTACTTGCTCTCAGAGCGTTTCAAAGTGTGCATGGGTATACCTGTGCCCCGATTCCTTGTGTCCCGTAATAAAATGTGAATTTTCTGCTACATGGCTGGCTGCATAGGACTGGTAAATTGTTTGAATAAATGCTACTAGGTTACTAATGCTAATCAATTGCATCGAATTTTTAAAATCTCAATAATTTAATCTGTGAAATAAAATTAGAGAAGGTCCTAAATGTTACTTTCGATTGTAAAAAACATACTTTACCTTGAAAAATTTCAACTTGACGTTAGAACTAGCAATGCTGTATAAATAAGGTTGGCGGATGTAATTACGCAAATAAGGATGACATCAGCAACAGAAATTTACCGGTGATAAGGTAGAAAATACCATTGATTCAATGTGCCCTTTGATCCACTGTGCCCTGACTACACCTACGTCATCAACGAGCTTCTGTTTGCGGACGATTGTGCCCTCAACGCTGCCTCAGTAGCCGTGATGCAACACAGCGTTGATGTCTTCTCTTAGGCCTGCATTAACTTTGGCCTCACAATCAACACAAAGAAGACTGAGGTAATGTATCAGCCAGCTCCCAGTAAGCCCCACGTTGAACCCAACATCATCATCAGAGGAAAGCGTCTCAACTCGGTGGATAAATTTACTTACTTGGGAAGCACCCTCTCTAGATCTGTCGTCATGGATGATGAAGTGAATGGCAAAATCGCAAAAGCTAGTGCCATATTTGGCAGGCTCCGCAGCACTGTTTGGGACAGAAGAGGTATCAGACGAGAAACGAAGATCAGTGTCTATAGCGCAGCAGTCCTCCCGACACTGCTCTACGGATGTGAAACGTGGACAGTCTACCAGTGTCACATCAAGAAACTGAATCACTTTCACACAACCTGCCTCAGGAGCTCCTCGGCATCAGGTGGCAAGACAAAGTCCCTTACACAGAGGTCCTCGCTAGAGCGAACCTACCTATTATCTTCATCACCCTAATGCAGTCTCAACTCCGTTGGATGGGACACGTAGCCCGCATGGAAGACCACCGGCTCCCGAAACAGATATTCTTCGGAAAACTCACGACAGACAAGCGCTCCCAAGGAGGTAAAAAAAGCGCTATAAAGACTCACTAAAAGTGGCACTAAAGGCCTTCAGCATCAACCGTACTCAATGGGTGCAGACAGCCCAGGACAGAGCCAGGTGGAGAGCAGCTGTCAAGAAGGGGGCTAAATCCCATGAAGCTAATGGGATAACCACAGCTGAGACATGCAGGCTTGTCCGAAAGAGCAACATTAGATCACCGTCTGCAGCAACTATCCCATGCCCGCGGTGCCAGAGATTATTCCGATCACGGATCGGTCTAGCAAGCCACCTATGAGATCACCGTAACCCAACCTAACCTAATGACTCGATGGTCCTAGTCGTCGTCGACGGACGAACAACACACAAGCACAAAGTCACGTTCTCATTTCAGCCATTTTTTTATTTCACAAAGGAATTCCCAAATTTCATTTATCAAGCATCCAAGCACCGTGCTCCTTGGGGCGGTTTTTCTTTGGGGGGGGGGGGGGGGGGGGGGGGGGGGGGGGGGTTGGTGGGGGTGGGGG